GGATCACTATGAGATAAGCTGCTCTGTGAGCTGTAGAGGGGCTTTGCAAATATTAGCCACTATTCCAGGTGGTTCTTTTACTTTGAGCATCTGGGCCTCCCTTCCCAGACAGAGGAAGCCATGGTAGGAGCCAGGCAGAACCCACAGCTGATGTGAAAACGACCTCTTCTGGCGCCTCCCCCTGAGTCCTGTGTCGAAGTTCCCGCCCCCAGTGTGATGGTATTAGGAGGCGGGATCTTTGGGAGGTGACTAGGTTTAGATTCGGGCACCAGAGTGAGACAGCAACGATGGGATTCGTGCCCTTAGAAGAAGAGGGAGAGAGAGATCACCCAGGTAAGGCCAGGCGAGGACACAGCCAGAAAGCCGCCTCCTCCGAGCCAGGAAGCTGGCTCTCACCAGACACCTGGATCTTGGGCATCCAGCCTCCAGAACCAAGAAAAATAAATGTCTATTGTTTAAGCCGTTCAGTCTATGCTATTTTGCTATAGCAACCTGAGCTGACTAAGACACCACCCTCCCAGCATTTATAACACACACACACACACATTTACAAACAGTAGAATTCACCTTTTTAAAAAAATACATATTTTTTATTGATTTCAGAGAGAAGAAGGGTGAGGGAGGGAGAGATAGAAACATCAATGATGAGAGAAAAATCACTGATCTGCTGCCTCCTGCACGACCCCTCCTCCCCAAATGGGGATCGAGCCTGCAACCTGGGTGAAAGATTGATACTTTTAAAAAAAATACATATTTTTTATTGATTTCAGAGAGAAGAAGGGTGAGGGAGGGAGAGATAGAAACATCAATGATGAGAGAAAAATCACTGATCTGCTGCCTCCTGCACGCCCCCTGCTCCCCAAATGGGGATCGAGCCTGCAACCTGGGCATGTGCCCTGACTGGGAATCGAATCATGACCTCCTGGTTCATAGGTCAACACCCAACCACTGAACCACACCAGCCAGGCAAGGATTGATCCATTTTTAAAAAGCATAAGTTGATGCCTTTTTGGATTAAATACAAGTTTTTAAGAGGACATCAATAAGAAATCTATAGAAACTTATCATTTAGAAATCTCAAACACTTGGAAGAGAACACTGTCATCACTACTGTTAATGAATTAACCTTCCTACACAATACCTGTATTTATTCTACAAGTACCGCACTCCGCAATCTGAAGAGGGCTACACAGAACAGATGAAAATGGTTTGGCGTGTTAGGGATAGGGTCTTAGGTGAAGAATCCAAACACCTGAGTCTACTCACTTTATAACTTACAGTCAAGGGACCTTTAGGCTGTTCCTAAATGTTGAGGTCCCTTGCTGTAAAATGGGAATATCCTGTACTCTTAGGACCTCATGAGATGATAGCTGTGGAAATGTCTAGGACAGTTAAATGTCATGGCCATAAAGGTGGTGGTCATATAAATGCGACTTCACGAAAACAAAACCATGAATTGACAAGTACCTGCACTTTTCTTTTATTGCAAGACTATCCATAATAAATGCATTATAGAAATAAAAACATAAATTATATAACTAGACATCTCAGTATTTTATACTTTAAATTCTTAATGCATACAATATGTAAAATGATAATCTACTTTCTTTTCCACCTAAAGAAACTATAAAATGTCTGTAATTAAATAACGAACATACTCAACTGGAGTATATGTTACTGACATCTTAATCATGATACTAAATTACACCATATCCATTCATGTTTGATCTGACACTGGTTACAGCTCCTACAGATCCTGAAAAGACAAAGGAATGTTTGAGTCGGCCGCAGCAGCTAAGCCAGGCTGACATAAATCAATTATTTCTGCCCCCTTTGCAGTTGTGCTACTCTTGCTAAGTTTGATTTATAATACAGATTCTCTACTCTTACACTGTAGCTACACATACACATAAATTAAAGAAAATTTTGAGAATTTCATATCAATTTGTATAAAGGTCACATGTCTGAGGTTGAAGCTTAATCTAGTAAATTAAAAGGTCACTCCAATTTTCTGACATATTTACATAGAGATAATTCCCCAGGCAACCTTGAAATATAACACAAATTTCGAAGGCCGTAAGAAGCACATCCTAACTGAAAGTTTTAAAAGAAAGGAAAGCTTCAGATGGCCAGAGAATAAACAGCACGGTGACATCCTGCGGAGAGGGTTCCCGTTTCGTGTGACGTCCGCTGGAGGGACCTGGAGGAACTCAGTTCTGTGGTTTGCATGCGTCTCAGAGGTGCTCATCAGGCCTAGTAACCTACTTTTCTTTTAGTTGTCAGAATCGATAACTATCACAATGGAACGGTACTTCAGTTAGCTTCGTTACCATGGGACGATCACCAGGGACAGCTCCAATGTGACAACTGACAAAGATCATCTGTTTTGTAAAGTGCTCCCTTCATTTCAAGAAAATTTCCCAGACCAGCAGGGCACAGGTAACGTTACATGCAGAGTGACTGTTGGACAGTGCTACAACCTACTGAAGAAAATTTGAAAACCAGGATGGTATGACTTCCAAAATGACCTGACCCATGCCTCCTAGTATTTATAAATGCAGCAGGAACACAGAAAAAACCTCCTGCATCTCAATGGCAGAACACAGCACAAGTACTCCATTAAGACAGACGTGGGAACGCTCCCGTTTACTACCTTAGCCTCTTCTCTGGCCTGCACGCTTCTGTCCTTGTTGACTACCCTCCCGTACTCCTCCCCTTCCTATAGTGGATTTCCCAGCACCACAGCCAGGTCATGGTGCTCCTCCTCTCAAACCTCCCAGATTCTTAATATGGCCTACAAAACCCTACGTACGTGCTCTATGAACTGGCCCCCTGCCAACAATGACCTCATCTCCAACTAGTCTGTCCCTTGTTTATTCTACCCAGTCACATCCTCCTCCACGAAGTTCCTTGTACACATCACGCACACTACTGCCTCATGGCCTTTGTACTTGTTGCTCCCACCACTTGAAATGTCCTTCCCTCAGATATCCACACAAGTATAACCTTCTTATTCTTCAGGTGCTTAGTTTAGTCAAGAGTCCCCTTCCTGTCGAGGTCTTAGCTGTTC